ATCTCTCCTTTCTTTCTCTCTTTTCAGAAAAAATTAAATAAGAATAAAATTAAAAAAACAAGCATTAAATAAATATACTACAAGTAACTTACATTTATGCTAAAACTTCCCATTATGGGGACCAGAGTGGCACATTTGAACGGATTCGCCGCATGGGAAATGAAGTTTTGAAGGAAAAGAGAGAAAAATACAAGATTGCCGCAATTGCAAACGTTGAACCCCCAATCAAATTATCTTTTAGTACTTTGCAAGAAGGGCAAAATGAAAATAATCATTAATAACCCTCTGACTTGTACTATGGACCACAAATTTCTTTTAGACCCTATATATATTGGAAATGAAAATGATCATTAATAACTCTGACTTATACTATGGCCCAAAAATTTCTTCTAGTCCCTATATATATTGGGGATCAGAGGTAACTATCCACATAATTATTTTCCTCCACTCTACTTTATGTGCATTCATTATTATCACTTACGTTACAGTCACAAATACACGCTAACTCTTGTAATCTGAGAATCTCACTTTGTTGGCTCTTCATCTGATCTTGCCAACCTTATTTCATGGCTTCTCAATTCCTGACGAATAAACAGAAAAGGAAGCCTACATTCTTCAAGGTCTTGATCCGTGATTTCTCTACTCGCCTGGTTAGTATAGTATCCTCGATCGATCTCCCCTCATTTCATTCTTCTCTTTTACTGTTTTATCAAAGCTTAATCCTCAAACAAAATGAGACATTTTCCTATTAACCTCCAAGCTATATTCGCAATTTTTGTTTTCTTATTTCTCTTTTTAGGATATATATATATATATATATAGTATCATGGGTTTGACACTAAACATAATCACAATTAGTTGATCTCTTGTTCATTTCTTTTCACGTGACTACATTAAAGTTCAATCCTTTTCTTCAATATATGTATTGATCCAACCCTTTCCTTCAATGTATGTATGTGTGTGTTTAAGTTTAAGTGTATCTGTACTTTTCCCTTTAGGTAGGAGGATAAGAGTTAACGTCAAGATTTTAACCTTTATATGTTCTTCTCTGATATATAAACAGCAAATCCCACCAGCTTTTATCAAGGAGTTTGGAAAGGAAAAGGTGCCAAAGAAAACAACACTTGAGACTTATAATGGCAAATTTTGGGAAGTTGGAGTGGAAAAGCTCGGAAGCAAATTTTACTTTGATAATGGCTGGGATAACTTTGTGAGAGTTAATAGTCTGGAAAATGGGGATTTCTTGCTGTTTAAGTATTTTGCAGATTATTCAAAGTTTAACGTCAAAATATATGGAAAAACTTGCTGTGAGAAGCAATTGAACGTTGTTGGGGAAAGATGTTCTAAACCTCTTAATGGCAAAGAAGACCAGAAAAGAAAGAGGCCGAATGAAGATGATGATAATGCAAACAAAGTTGGGGAATCCAAAGCTTTCAAACGTAGCGAGATTGGACTTGATGCAGATAACTCTTCCTCCACTTTTTATGATGGTGAAGAAATTGGTATGCTTCAATATAGTGATGTATCAGTCTTTATGTTATTATTTATATTTATTTATTATTTACTTTATCAACTGAAACACATATAAACTAATTACGTTGTTTGTGTTATTTATTCAAAAATTAAGAAGGTACCCAGAAAAGAAAAGCACAAACTGTTGAGGTCAAAAGGAATGAAAAGTATGGCGGCAGAATGCCTCCAGATTATCATAACCATATCGAATTCGAATCTGAGAATCCGTTCTTTCAGCACAAACTCATGCCTACAACTGCCAACCAGTATCTGGTAAGTTCTTTAATTTTTCTACTTAACTTTACCGCACACATCTATCACAAGTAAGACTAAAATACTACTTCTGGTCTTTTAATTCTTAATATAAGATTCTAATCTATTTTATCCGTCATATTTGTCCATTTTTTCTCAAGGTAGTCTTGCACATATTAAAGTTTCACCAAATAATAATTTTTGTTCATACACATAATTAGTAAGGGTATTTTAGGAAAGATGATATCTATTTATTACAAGTAACTAGCTTAATTAATTTTCTTAGTCTAATTAAATTAGTTAACTAGTTTTTATATTAATGACTAAAAGTAGTAGCGTATTTATTACGTACGTAAGTATTTTTCTATATTTTATATTCATGGCGAGACATTACATGCACAAGGATTACTTTTGCATTATTTATTCTTACTGGGAACACACGCACGTGTATAGCACTTCATATTTTAAAAGACCACCTGTTTTAGTCTACATGCCAAAGAGGAGTGTTTAAGACATTTCATGTTTTTTCTTGTCCATTTATGTTTTCTGCGCAGTATATACCCAAAGGTTTTTTCAAGGAACGTATGAAGGAAAGCAAAAGGATAAAGTTAGAGTTATCAGAAAGAACATGGAATATGGAGATTTATGTGCACGAACGTGAACGTGATGCAAAACGAACAAAGGACGCCAGAGTGGTTAAGGGATGGAAGAGATTGGTGAATGAACATCATTTGGAAATTGGAGACGTCTGCTTCTTTGAAATGATTGCAAGTTATTATGATTCTGATTGTTCTGAGTTTCTTGTCCATGTTTATAGGTGGGATCAAAAGAAAGGAAAGTTTTCCCAGATAATTTAGATGTAGATGTTGCTTAGTTATTTCGATGACTACTAAACTAAGTTAATTTGTTCATTTTTGGTTTTATGGTTATGAATTATGAACTTTGTGAGCCGTGATCATGTGATTGCGCTGGTAAAAAAAAAAAATAAAGATCACGTGATTGCAATGTGGATTTGGATTTTGGTTTGCTTTGTAATTTTCTTGATTCACTGGCCTGTATATATACAACATTGTTTGTGCGTGTAGCGTATGCATATATGTATGTATATGTGCCTGTGATATGTGAATTAACTGAATTTTCTGTTTATGCTTATACTTCATAGTAGTTGCTGCTTATGTTATTTTTTATTTGTTGGGTATTATATTTTAGTAGTGTTATAAGGCAAAAGTATATTTTCTTTTAACCTTGTACAATGTTTCAATTTTTTTTTGCCAATATAAAAGGTTTCAATTTACTCTATTAACTTTTAAAAGTATATTCTTTTCTCACTAAAACCTTTAACAAAAAATAATTATTTTAAAATCTTGAATGTTGATAAAACATTTTAAAATGTTAATATATTAATTTTAATTTTCAAAACAAACATTATTATTATGAAAAAATAATCATTTAAAACTATTATCTCTGGTCTTTGATATAAGAACTAATTAGAGATTGAATTTGGTTATAAATATAAGATGTCAATCCATTTTGTCTCAAAAAATTATAATGTTTTCTTCCAAATATCCTATTAATTTTAAGGTGTTCCCATCAAGAAACAATATAAATTCAATGCATATAATTAAATAGGACAGTTTAAGAAAATCAACATACATTTGTTACACTTGATCAACTTAACAAAAATCTTGTATTAAATTAAAGGATCAAATTATAAACATAATTGAGGTTCTTGTTTTGTAATATTATAATATAATGGATCACCAATTTTAATTTTTTCGTGTAATCAGCGCTAAAATTATTTAAATTTATTGTTGAGAGTAATATTAGCCTGTTATAATTAATTTTATGTTTCGCTGATTTTTCCCCCCAACCTAACGCGGGGATGGGCTAGTTAGTCAAGGTGATGAAAATATGAAAACGAAAGGATATACATAATTCTATCAAGCTAAGTTTTGATAGAATAAGTTTTGTAGCCGCAAAAGATGTATACCTGTGAAAATGCAAGGACTGGAAAAATAAGTTTTGTAGCCGCAAAAAATATATCCTCTTTTTCCCATAATAATAATAGGAAAGAAACTTGGGGACGGTTTGAAATGAAAATAGGGAGAGTTGTTGAATTTTAATCATAATAAATATACCTGCCGTTACTATTTTCACTTTAATTTGTTTCCTATTTTCAAGTTTAAGATCCCTGTCTAATAATTATTACTCCCTCCGTTTCTTATTATAAGAGACGAATAACCGAATTACGTTGATCAAAAAAACAGTTAAAATTAGTTAAGAACAATCAATGTGTAAAAAGTATAATTTCTTTTTCAAAAATACCCTCATTAATAAGGAGAGAGAACATGAGAGAGAATAATAGTAAATTATTAAAAGAAAGAGAAGTGGGAAGGAGAGAGAGTGTGAGTTAGAGACAATAAATATGGGTAAAATAGGAAATCAACACAAAAAAGTAGAGACAACTTTTAAGTGTCTCTTATATATAGGAACATGCCATAAGCATCAAATGTCTCTTATAATAAGGAATGGAGGGAGTACTATATTAAGAAACATGTACAATAAGGAAGTAATTAAGGAAACAATTCAACTGAATTAATGGAGGTAAAAAAAAAATCAACACTTTCTTTTTTCTCGAAAAACGTTGGAACTTTTCATATGATATATTCTCTCTCTTGTCCCTATGGACACCTTCTTTAATAAATTCGTGGTCCCTAATAGAAGTCATCAATTAGGACGTCAAGTGACACTCCTTTTCATTCTTACTGGCCTATTGCAAATTAGTAAAAGAGAATTTAATTATAATTTAATATTCTATGTGGCTCTTCGAATGAAGTGTTTTCCGCTCTCTTTACCCTATTTAATATATGCCAGTCATTTATACCCCATTCTCCCATGACCCATGCCAATAAATGCATTTAATTTAATTTATAAATTTTTTACATTTGCCCCTAATTAAAGAAAGGATATTAAAAAAAATATGTTGCACATCTTCTTCCACCTATATTTTTGTATTATTCTATAGGAATAAAATTGGAAAAATATTGTTTTTAATTAATTACCCTATAAGTAAGTTATATTTAGAAACAAACTTTTTCCCCACAAGTGACTCACATTTAAGATCAAAACTTCTCCATACAAATGACTTACTACATTTAGAAGTGGAATGGTATATAAGAACAGAATGGTAATTTAGTTTGAATTTTATTTTATTTATGACAGATGTTTAGTGAGTAATGGATGGATGGAAGAAGTACTTCCCTCCTACATATGCCCTTTCAGTTGCCACTACCTGCGTCACTCTCTCTCTTTTTCTCATTCTCTTACCTTCCAAGTTAAATCTGATCATTTGTGTGATTTGCTTTACAAGCTTCTTCGGCTTCTACATTATCTCATGGCTTCACCGTTCTGGCGAAGACATGCAAAAGAAGCCTTCATTTTTTAAGGTCTTGATTGAGGATTTCACCACTCGCTTGGTTAGTCTATATACATAGCATCCTCCATTGATTTTATATCAAACATTAACAATGACGTGTAAGCTCCTTGATTCTTCATTTTTGTTTTATTATTTCTCTTTATATATTTCTTCGTTGATCCATGTCATAATATTTCATTGAATTCTTGGCCCATCGGTTTGACACTGTATGAGAACTTATCTCTGCTTTTAAGTTTCACTTGTTTTGATGTTTACAAGTCCAACCCTTTCCTGATATATACATATATATATGTTATGTTTCTAGCTAGTGTAAGTGCGAAATTTCAAGTTTTTAGCAAATCTCGGTGTTGATATATGAACATACAGAAAATCCCACCAGCTTTTATTAAAGAATTTGAAGAAGTGCCAACGAAAACAATACTTGAGACTTATTATGGTAAATCTGAGGAAGTCGAAGTGAAAAAGTTTGGGAGTAAATTTTATTTTCACAATGGATGGAAAAGGTTTGTGGAAGTCAATAATTTGGAAACTGGTGATTTCTTGGTGTTGGAATATTTTGAAGATTATTGCAAGTTTAAGGTCAAAATCTACGGCAAAAGGTGCTGTGAGAAGCAATCCGATATGGTTAATGGGAAAGAAGATACGAGAAATGTACAAAAAGGAAGAAAAAGGAAGAGAGGGGAAGAAGAAAAAGAAGAAGAATCCAAATCCAAAGCTATTGAAAGGAATATAATTAGTATTGATTCTGACTCCTCTTCTTCTTCTGAATCTGACGATGGAGAAAATGAAGTTGGTAAAAGTCAATTCATTTTTATCTTTATCTTAATATTATTGTTGTTGTTGTTGTTTGAACTAAAATATACATATTTGTCTTAATTAACATCAAGGCTGTTTGTGTTTTATTCAAAAATTAAGGAGGTATAGGGAAAATAAAAGCAGAGACTACTAAAAAATCCAAGAGAAAGAGAAAACACAGTACGTTGCCTCCAGATTACGGTGACAAAATTCAATTCAGTTCATGGAATCCTTTCTTTCAACTTGAGCTCAAGTATTCTACTGCCAATTTTTATATAGTAAGTTCTTATACATTCACTTCAACTTTACTCACTATATATCCTAAAATCATTAATCAGTATCTTGTTCGTTCTAACTAATTCACTCTTTTGGAGGACCAAATCAGATTAGCTCTCATTGTGCTGTGTGTTTTGTTTCTCACAAAATCTTTATTACAAGAAATTCAGGTGAGAACTGTAAAAAAGTAAACATATTTGAATTTGTAATTTTTCAGGGTCTTTGTTGAAAATATTCTCGGTCAAAACGTTGAAAATCCTCTTCCTACAAAATTCAGTTCTGAGGTGTTCTTTTTTTTTTTTTGTGTTTTTTGCGAAATATTTTTCTCTGAGAATGAAGTCCTACTATAGAATGGCCTTTGTCTGTCAAACAAACAGTGATAATTTTTCTGTTCTTTTTATGTCCTTTTTCTAACTGTTCGTATTGATTATGAACATACAATTGCTGAGTGGTGAGTTGGCAGAAACAATAGTTGAGAACATGATAAAGTCTTACATAGTATCATCACTCCGCAAATTATGTACATACCAAGTATCAGTATTTTGATCTAGAGCCTTAATTCTCAACAATAAACTTTTTAATGGAGGATTCCCCCCCCCCAATTTTTCCTTGTGTAGATTTGGTAATTAACCGTCCCTTTTTAATTTTATTTCATTCTATCTATTTCCTTTCTCAATCACACACACACACACGCACACACATTTATACTTCCATGTTTGGTATCTTAAATATGCTTTAATGTTTGCTCCTGCAGTATATACCCACATATTTTCTCAGAAAACATATGAAGGAGGTAATAAACAAAAGGATCGAGTTTCAAATATCCCAAGAAGTTTGGGATGTGAAGTTACTAGTGCCCGAACGTGTCCTTGACACCACCACACACGAGGAAGAAGCGAGAGTTACTAGAGAATGGAAGAAAATAGTGAGAGAGTATCATTTAGAAATAGGAGATGTTTGCTTTTGATGACTGTTGTGTGTTTCGTATTCATGTTTATAGATGGGACCGTAAGGAAGAGGAGTTTGTTAAGAAATTTAATTCATAGTTTTACTAATCTTGATCTTATTGAATATCGGTCATTTTGTTGTCCTCGTGCATCTTCTTTTACATTATTTTAACTTTGTAAGATGTGATTAGAATATGGATTTGGGTTTAGTCTTTGGTTTGCAATTTCTTTAGATTTATTTGCTTAGCATTATGTGTGAGCTGTGAAACTAAATCTACTGCTATTTACATTTATACTTGTATAGTCTTTATGTATTCTTTCAGTAGTAAATATAAGACTCATTTTGTAGTGCTACAAAATGAATCTTATATTTAAGACCGGAGGAGTATCATATTAACAAGCGTTGTTGTTGGTGACAAAGTATATGAAATGTTTTTTGTAACTAATTTATATTAGTTGGTGTGTTAGTAATCATGCTTTCAGAGATGCTTACATATCACTGACCAATAAGACTCTCAAATTAGCAATGAAATTTGAACTCATAACTTTGTGAGATATCAGTCAACTCCAATCCTTATCAATTATATCAACTTTTATTTGCTAAAAGTTTTTTGAGAATAAAAATAAAGAAAAACAGTAGGATGTGAAAATAGAGATGCGATATTAGATATATCATGTTAATGCTTAATTTAATTTGGTTAAAATATATTTTTAGTCCTTTAACTTTACACAATATTTTATTTGGTTCTTTAACTTTAAAAAGTAAATTTTTGTCCTCTAACCCTAAAACTATTAACAAAAATGATAATATTAAGCTCTTAAATGCTGATAAAATATTTCTAAATACTAACATATTAAGTTTAATATTCAAAACAATCATAATTTTTACAAAAAATCATCATCTAAGACTAACAATTTTGAGATTAAAGAACTAAAAATATACTTTTTAAAGTTCAAGAATCAAAGTAAAACCTTACATATAGTTAAAGGACCAAATGTATACTTTTCCTATCTAATTTAATCATAATAAAAATATACATACTTTTGTCTCCTCTCTGTCACTCGCATTGTTTCTTATTTTCATATTGAGCTTTCGTCCATGATATCTTCTTTTAAAATATTAGCCGCAAATCTAAGTGAATAAATATAGTAAATATATGTTGGCAAAACAATATATAGTGTTCTTATCCTATTTATAAGGTGGAAAGAAGACTTTTTTAATCCTAGTTATAGGATACTGAGAGAAATTTTTTGTATGAATGTATAATTTTACCATTCATTTATTATTGTGTTGACTTTATTTATATGAATTATAATGTATATTAAATAGAGATAAACTTAGAAAATTGTTGAATTTTAAATGAGAGTCAACAAAATTTAAGGTTTTTTTCCTGTATAAAACATATTAGAAGTAATTTATAAATAGGATTGGAGGAGTAGTAGATATATAAAAATATATTTTTATCAAACAAATTTACTTATATTCGTTTGTTATTATTCTTATATCTAAATATCATTGTAGAATATTTTATTAAAAAGCTAAACTTTTTTTTTTAAAAAAAAAATCATGCTCTCCGTGGGACAGCAAAATCTCAATCAGCCTAATTTCAGGCACACGACACGTTATTTCTAATTAACAGACACGTAGGCATGCTCAGAAATCTATTTATTTCCTTAATTAAAATTTTTCCGTTTTCACCTTTCAAATCTTACAGTGATCTGCATCTTCTCGCCAAAGCTTCCATGGATAGAGCTTCACAATCACAAAGAAAACGCAAGAACTCTTCCTTCTTCAAGATTCTGATCCAAGATTTCTCTACCCGCCTGGTTAGTATCCCCCATCTGATCTTTTTTGGTCCCTCTAATTTCACTAAAAATGGTCCATGATCATCAATACGCATGTTCTTGTTACCAATTATTTTCCCCAGATTCTTCATTATTTTGCAGTTCTTCATCTCAAAAGTAGTAATTTCAAGTTGAAGATGATGATTTTGTTGTTAATAACAGCAAATCCCTCCAGCCTTTAACAAGGTATTTGGTAAAGAGGTGCCAAAGAAAGCAATTCTTGAGACTTATGGTAAATCGGAAGAAGTGGAAGTGGAAAAGCATGATAATCGATTTTGTTTCTGCAATGGATGGAGTAAATTTGTCGAGGACAATAAATTAGAGAATGGAGATTTTTTAGTGTTTAAATATGTGTCGGATTGTTCAACGTTCAAGGTCAGAATCTATGGCAAAACTTGCTGCGAGAAGGAATGTTATAATTCTGCAGATTTTGCTGGAAAGAGATGTTCATCACAACCTGAGAAAAACGAAGATGAGAGGAATAATAATGTTGGAGATGGCCAAAAAAGAAAGAGGGAAGAAGATGGAGCATTGAAAGCTGCAAAAAGGATTGAACCAGACTTTGATTCTGATATTGGAGACGAAGTTTCTGAAGATGAAGCAATTAATATTGATTCTGATGCTTCTCAGCATCCTATCGTCGAAGAAGAAGTTGGTAAGCCTCTTTGCCTCTGTAACGCTCTCAATATGAACACTTCGAAACTAATTTGAAAGGGAAAGAAAATATCAAGAAGCACAGTTTCAGAAATTTTAATTATTTCAATTGTTTTTAAGATTTCAGAATAAATTAGGTTGAATTTATATATTTTTCTCTGTGTGTGTATTAAATTATTCGATATCACCCCATATATTGGATATGCTAGATAAATTTGTAGATATTGAGAATGATTTATATAAGAGGACTTGAATTTTAGAAGAAATTTTTTTTTTTTTACATTTAAGATTAAAGGATAGAATCAGCTAAAAATAACCAAAAATTGAGGTCAGAGATAATTCTCCAAGTCGTAATATTTTCAAAAACAAAAGTTGTTATACAACTCTAAGAAAAAGTTCAATAATTATTCCAGTAAAGTCTCAAGAGAAATTGTATCTGTAGAGAGCAAGTACAATTTTTGATTTTTAAAATATAATTTTTCAATTCTTAAACTGTGCTTTTTTTGGTGAAAATTAAACTGTACCTTATTATAGAATTAAGGCTCCAAAATTGACTTGGTGCAGGTAATTCGAAGCAGCCAACGAGTGAAGAAGCCATAAGATTGCACACTGAGAACCAAACAGAATCTGAGAGTTCTTCCTTCCAAGTCAAACTCAGATCTTCAAGCATCAATAGCTATCTGGTAATAAGCTTTCATCGTCATTATTAGAAATTATTATAATTATAGATATTTAATATCCTTGATTTCTTAAAAATATCTCGGACCTTAATTAATGAAATTTTTAATTAGAAAAGGAAACTACAAATGAGCTCTCTTTAATGCAAAATCAAGAAAGCTGCTTTTTTTTATAATTAAGAAATATATATTTCAATATTTAAGTCAAATTTTTTATATTCATTATTTCAATCATAGTCAATTGGTCATATATCCTATTTTAAAATATTACCATTAAGCATGAACCCACGCCAAAAAGATAAAACATATAGTTCATAAATATAAAGAACTTGACGTAGATATCTACATCTACTACCCTCTCTATATATAGACATTGTCTGACATATGAAGATATATGTGTGCGTGTACAGAATATACCATTAAGGTTTTCGAGGAAATATATAACAAAGGAAAACGAAAGCCAGGAGATTAGAATAGAGATGACCAACAAAGTATGGGAAGTGGGTGTTCTAGTGTTTTGGGCAGCTGGTAAGAAGGAGGTACTCACCGGAGCAAGGCTGACTCAAGGATGGAGGAACCTGGTCTCAGAATGTCATCTCCAAATGGGAGATGTCTGCAATTTTGAATTGATCCAACCAACAGCTCATCATCAGCAACTTGTCTTTCGTCTTCGTGTTCTTAGATGGGATCCTCAAAACGACAAGTTTACTCAGATACTTTAGTGGCATCAAAGTATAAATTTTAGTATTTTAGATCCATCACTTCGCTTTCGTGTATTTTGGAAGTTTGTAGATATATGAGTTCTGATCTGGATATTGTTTTAAGCATGTTTATGTTTTGTATCCTGAACGCATATGATATGACTGACATGAGCTAGTTATTAAAGATTGCATACTGATAACCAAGTAGAATTCAAATCAGAGAGTCCTTTCTTCCAAGTCAAACTCAAATGTTTAAGTATCAATAGTTATCTGGTAATTATAAGCTGTCATCATGCATTTAAATTATTATAATTGCAACTATTTAACATCTTTGATTTTTCTTAAAAATCTAGGTCCTTATTCAATAAAAAACTTTTCTTATTAAAAAAAATCAAGAAAGTTAATTTTTGTACAGCTGTGAAACACATATATAATTGAAGATAAATTTGAACAATATAATAAAAACTTTTTAAAATCTGATCTCATTTTAGTTTTGATTTTCTGAAATTTGAAACTAGTGTTTTTAGTTTTTAAAATTCACTCTAACTTTAAACGTTAGTTCCTGTAAGTTAAATATTGACAACGTGGCAGAAACACTGTTGGTTTTGATGAAGTGCTCATATGACTTCGACATTTTAATATATAATATTTTATTTTTAAAATTTGATCTCACGTTGATTTTGATTTCTCAAATTTGATATCATGTTGATTTTGATTTCTAAAATTTGAAATTAGTGTTTTTTCCCTTAAAATTTACTTTGTCTTTAGTTGCCAAAAGTTAAATGATGTTAAATATTGCTGATCTAACACAAACACTGGTAATTTTGATGATATGACCATTTGATTTGGATATTTTAAAACAAAAAGGTGCCAACTTAAAACGACGCACTCCAACTGTGAAAAAACCAAAATAGAAAGGAAAGAGGAGTTAGGTCAAGATGACTCACTAGTGCCGATGAAGTGTGGCGTGTAACCTCTTTACAAATTAATCTGTCCATTATATTCTTATAATTTTACTTAATTTTTAATTATATTTTTATATTTTTTCTTTTATTAGATTATATATAGATAATAACGTCAAGAAAATTAACGGCAAAGTATCCACAATAAAATAATAAAAGATCAGGAGTTGAATTTAAACTTTAAAATGTCAAGGAGATAATATGCAACGAATCCGTAGTTTAGGAGGTTTGCATAATTTAGCTTTTTTTTTTCTTTTTATTAGATTCTTACAGTTTTCCCAATTATAGTAATTAGTCCCATTTCATAATTTCTTAATTATTAGGATTGTTGTAAATATTGACTAAGTCACATGTAAATTTCTAAAATATACAAAATAAAAAAGATTTTTTAAAAATACAATAATGATGGAATAAAATTTCTTTATTATTAAAATAAAAAATTATTATACTATGTGGATCGTTATACTGAGACACCAGGAGCCTAATTAAATCTTAGAAAGCATAGTGGATTGGGAATATATAGAGGTTCGCTAGGACTGGGCGTCGGTAAGGGGAGTGGTCAAACATAGATAAAATAAGACGGTTGGCCTATCATCTCCCTATCCTCTTTTTGTACATTATACTCGTTGAGACTCATCAATGATCACCATTACTCTTCTTTTTATTATTATTTAAATTTTTATAATCACCCAATTCATCATTCCCTTGAGTGTAATCTACCCAAAACAAGAGTGCTATGGCTAAGAAAGGAGATGAAATTATAGGAAGTTGGAGATTAATTTTTCATTTATTGATTAGAATAAAAAGAAAATCACTCACCCGATCCTTTATACTATCTCTGGTACTAATTATACGACCTCGTTTGTAGACTATAAACTAAATCTTATAATTAGTACCAAAAGTAGTATTTCTTTATCCAACACGCCGTAAAAACTTCAAGAAGGAACAGATTTCATTAAACACGTTGGGAAGGGCCCCAAAATTAAGGGGCAGCACCAAGCGGCAGCTGACACCCGATCCCATTGACACTCGTCATGGATACACACATATATACAATGTTTCATTGATAGAGTACAGTACTAAGATCCATCGTGATTGTTAGAATTAAGATAATCTATGTTTTCTTTGGCACAAGATTGCACACTAATCCCAAGAGAGTACAAACTTACATTTGTCAGCATCGAAAAGACACAACAGACTGGCATGTAAGAAAGCCAAAAGCACTATTCTGAATGTCCTTGAAATGCTTCGGTGTATCGTCGCCCAAAAATCAACTGACAACAAGTGAAGCTAGCGCCATTAAAACCACCTCGAGTAGTATTCCCAGCATTCAGAATAGCACTACTGCTTTGTTTTGAAGATGATGGAGCACGTGAGGGCCCATCAATGTCGTTGCCTTTCTTGCCTTTCTTTTCTAATTCTTTCCACTCCCTGATCTGCTCTAAAACATCACGTGGAGGCTTTCCTCCTATATGTTCAACGTCGGAACTGAAACATATAATAGTTTTGTCGCTGAAGGGCTGACGAAAACGACATAGTTCAGGCCCAAAAAGATCCACCCAAATGCCTCTAAAAGGATCACAGTGTAGGGTGATGGAATAAGACAGACCTGATCCCCCAGCAAGGCCTGTAACGAAATCAATTTCAGCCTCGTCAGTTTTGCTTGAGCAATAATGCAGCTGACCTTCTCTCTGATGAAATTTATCTCGGTACTGCCTTACGCACAGTCCTGGTTCGTCTGTTCGCCGTGTGAATTTCCCACTACGACTACGAACTTTAAATTTATGAATCACGTACAATTCTCTGTGATCTCTTTCAGTCTTGATCTCCATGCCTATTCTCACGGGATTACCTACACATAGGCCATCTTGGAGTGTGAAAAGCACCTTATCTTCTTTTGCTCTCCAATAAGAAATGCAAGTGCGTGATGGGTAGGAACGGGAAGTGTAAACCAGAGCGTGCTCCTCACGAAACTCTTCGCTCGACCATGAATACATCTTAACACTAACCGCAGGATCCATAGGCATAGTACTGGCCCATGGGTTAGCCAAGGACATGGGAAACATTTTCAAGCAAGAGACCCCAGAAGCATGTGTTAGATTGAAATAGAATATTCAACATTATAATAGATATATATATATATATATATATATATAATATGGCCGTCAGGAAAGTAGCAAGCATAAATTCAGACTTCTTTTGAAAAGCAAGAACTCGATTCCAATCATTAATGTATATTTTAGTGGGAGCACGCTTCATTGATGAAAATATTCCAACACATCGATTGTGATGTGAAGTATTCAGCATTGAGGGACGCATGGAGCACTCTGAGATGATCCTATAATTTTCAGACACGTAAAACTGTATGAAGGTGAATAAGCCCTATTCATTGAGCCTCTTGATGGGAAGAAACCTCTCAAATTTCCCCCTTTTTTTTGGGCCGTAAATATATAGGTTTTGTCATAAGATATTGAAAGAGGAAAGAAGTGGTCCACTCGTTGAGCCTTGGTCGGATCGGGATTAAACCTGAGCTTGATGCACCACACAAGAAAGAAGAAGATATAGCCAATAGCTCAATGGCTGGAGTAAAGAATACCTCAGGGAGGCACAAATGAAAATTTTGATTTTTCCCCCTCCTTTCCTTCCTTTTTTGACCAACAGGAAAATTCGAATCGGAGATCTTATTAAAGGGGACAAAATCTCTAAAAACATTTTAAGAGTTATACTCCTCCTGTCCTCAATATAAAACCCCTTTTATGCTATAATTTACACTACAAAAGGGGTCTTATATTTAGAACTGGAGAATAATAATTAGATATGGAACAAGGGCACTAAGAGCCTAAAGAGGAGGTGATGACTGAGTGAGGGGTTTCTCAAATAGATTCCTAGAAAATTGATATTGATTAAATTGGATTAGATTAATTATATTAGATTTTGAATTCTTATTAAAATGTCTTTATAAAGCATTTTAATAAAAAAGCTGAAAAAAATTAATCTGCCATATAAAACATATTATTTTAGCCAAATAAAATTGATATAATTTAACCCTTGAGAGTTGGTTTGGCCAAATGAGCTAATTACTGAAGTGACAAATTAAAATTCGACTTCCCATTGAAAAATATGTTTATTTTTAGTGGCCGACTTAAGCTCGATTAAGATTAATTGTATTTAATAGAAGGATAACTACTGCGAGTTATGAAAAAAATTGACATAATTTAATTACCTAGGACTAGATGTGTTATTATATATATTATATTTACAAAATGTGCGCCTTCATACAAAGATGAATATGCAATTTGGTTCAGCTAAAAGGTAGATGATGGCTCTTGAATATGTACCGGTATTTTTTTTTAATTGATGTAGATATTCTTTTGTTGGATAGAATCCCGTTTAAAGCACTATATGATGTCGCTTTCGGCAAGGATTCAAATGTCGGTATTTTATATTTTAAGGGCCCCTAAATGTATCAACGTTCTATTTAAATGTGAAAAATATTCTAACACTTAATTCAGTCTGATAAATACAACATTATGATAGCAATTTATTTAAGCTTTTTCCTTGCAACCTGAATTGGGATATCCAATTTTTATACAACCTAAACTGCAACCAAAAAATAAAAACTGGCATCCGATTCCAATTCAACGCCTAACATGTTAAAATGTTCAAATAAGAGTGAATAGGAATAAAATTAAGCTTCATAACAATAATAATAATACTACCTCCGGTCCTTAATATAAGACCTTGTTTGATTTGTATTTTGGTCCTAAATATAAGATCTCAATCGACTTTGTCTCTCATAATTTATGCATTTTTTTCAATGTAGTCCTCCTAACAATAATAGTTCTAGCCAGTATACTTGGTTAGCAAGAATATTTTAGGAAAGACAACACATATTTATTACAAATAACTAACTTAACTTCATTCTTTAATTTTTTCAAATTAGTCAACTAGCTTTTATAACTAGGACCGGAAGTAGTATATAATAAAGTTGAGTTGATGATGGTCTAATGGGTCTTCGTCTTCGCTGTTAAACTCTGAGCAAGGCCATTACTGCGTGTGATGCGAAAAGCACCTTGTCGCATTATAAACATTCGCTGCCATGTAATGTGGATGCGAAGAACTTGCATAAATACTTGAAAATAACTTTTGCAAAGAAGGAATTCAATTCCCTTATTATCTTTCATTAAAATATAAAAATAAAAGTGATTTTGGGAATCTCTTTATTTCCCCACATATCAAAATTAAAGTAAAGTTTAAAAACAAAATATAGATCTATGCACCTTTTGGTATAAAAATTTCTTCAGGCACAAAAAATGGTAACAAAATTTCTAGAAGTTATGAATGTTCAAAAGAAAAATGATGCATGTATAGTTTTATTAAGTTCATGCGAACGTTATATGTAACAATTATAAGTATAGTATATTAGCAAAAAAATAATGTTGCATATATGTGTACAATATTATATATATATATATATATATATATCAATTGCAAGAATAATTACACAAAATGATGTATATGTATATCACTTCTTGCCGCCTCCATCCTTTTTAACAAGATTCATTTTAGACTTTAGAATTATCTGAGCATTAAATCTATTTTTATTAATTTTACTCTAATTAATTTTTTTATACATTTTCTTTTATTATTTTTCTCATTATCACTCTCTCATGTCATTTATGCACTTATATATAAAGGCACGTTTATAAAAACAAATTATATTTTTATATATTTATTACTTTTAATTAATTTTAATTGTCTTTTTTGCAAAATAGTCAATTTTATTAAATTTCAAAAAAGAAGTATAAACACCAATAGCCGAAAGTGCAGACAAAAGAAAAGACTCAGACCCTAGAATACAACCTTACTAGAGAAAACATAATAGAAAACAATGCAAAAAAAAAAAAAAACACAATCAAACAGTAAAGAAAGCAAATAAAAACAATACAGAAACCAAACACAAGGAAAAGACAACTAGACCAACATTAACCAACATCATTACGGCCCCCAACACCAATCCTGAGGCAAGCCACGTTCTCAGCAAAAGAGTCCGTTAAATTAGCATCACGCCAAAGAATCTCATCAAAAGACAGTGATGGTGATTCCACCCATCCTGAAGGATACACTCCCTTGTTATAGGACACAGCAATAAAATCTGCTGCCTTATTTCCCTTGCGAGGAACAAGAGAAATATAATAAAGAGAGGGAGTATTTCCTGCATCTCCCAGCCATCTGTCCAATCTAGTCCATCAAGAGACGTCTTCTTATAGCACCAGAAGATCTCAGCACAATTTACCTCAACAGTCGCACTCTGAATCTTCAGCTCCTTAAGCAAGAGCAAAGCTTTCCTTAAAGCCATAACATCAGCTACCACCGCCGAATATTATAAATTATAATAAAAAATAGCCACATTGAGGGTCAAATCTTCTTAGCATACTCCTTCTTGATTAGGTCCTATTTATAATTTTAAATTTCAGAAGAGACGTAATTCTTTTTATTAGCTTTATTTTGGGTTTGTTTTCACATTTAATATATTTTTTTCTAATTTTTAGACATATTTATTATATGTTAATTAGTTATTTAAAACTTATAATAAAAATGGAAAGGAAATATATCAATAGCTATCTAGTAATTATAATCTGCCATCATCCATAGAAATAATTGTAAATGTAATCATTTCATATCTTTGATTTTCTTAAGCGGTCCTTAATAAATGAATTTTTTTAATCTGAAAAGCAAAGTACAAATGAATTTTTTTGTTCAGCTGTGAAATATATACATTTATATAACCGAGCATAAATTGAACAATATAATTAATTTTTGTTAAAAATAGATATCTTACTTTATTTCCCTTTTGCTGTCCATGGAAATTGGAATTTAGTTTGCCATGTTGCAAGTGACTAATCTCTCTAATAATTTATGTTTTTTTTTCTGCAGTTGAATTTAATTTAGTTTTTTTTTAAGGGTTTTCAGATTTGGGCCACCAGGGTATTTGCGCTCAATAAAATAAAAAATATTACACACGCAGAGAAACAAGTTCTTATATTTATTTATTTATTTTATATAAGAGTTTATTTAATTTTTATTTTAGTTTTAAATATAAGATTCAGATCCATTTTTTTTATATTTATTTATTTTTTTTAAGGTAGTTCTTGTAATAATGGTAATTCTAACCAATATACTTGATTAGTAAAAATATTTTAGGAAAAACAACATCTATTTATTACAAATAACTAACTTTATAAGCTTTTTTTAATTTACTTAAATTAGTTAATTATTTATATTAAGGATGTAGTATATGATATTAGATTAACATAGGAGATCAATCGGATATATTAGTTTCATCCGACAAAAGGGTTTGGGGCAGCCTATCTCCTTTAATATTTGCGAAAAGTACATTTGACAAGAAACACTTCCAAATCTATGGTAACATAAGATTTAATTAATTAATTTAGATAGATTAAGAAATTTACTAAATTACTTAATTATAATATATGCTACATTGTTGCTATATTTGGTCCTTAATATAAAAATCAGTTAATTAATTTAGAGAGATTAAGAAAATTAAATAAATTGTTTTAAAGTATTATATTTATCATTTTTTTAAAATTAATTTGCCCAACTTATGAACTCATATATAATATGATGATAAATGTAAGTATTTGATTATTTGAAAGAGAATATGAAACATAAAGTACTATAATAAAGTAATTTTTTAAATCCCTTAATTTTGTCAAATTAGTCAACCATGTTTTATATTAAAGATTAGATGTAGTGCATCAATTTATAAGTAAAACAAATTAGTTAGTAGAAAAACAATAAATATAAATATTTTAAAGTAATTTAGAAACATTCATAATCTTCCTAAATTAATTTAAAAGGTTTTATATTAAGGATATGAGAAATTTTTTATTTTTCTTATATTTTCGTAAAAGAAATAGTGTAATTTTTTGTCTCACGCTGGAAGATATATATATATATATATATATATATATATAGACACACACTCACTTGGGGTAGGGTCGTACATATGAAAAGAAGCAAGTTGCTGGTTTGAAGCAAGTCCAAGCCAAATTATAAGCTTGAGACGGTGGAAGTTCAGAGACATATAACGAAGTCTTCGTAATTTGATGGACTTGATTTGTCTAACTGATTTCAGCTCCAAAAAAAAAAAAAACAAAAGATTTGTCTAAGTGATTTGTTAAGTTTTGCAAAAGGTGATTTGACATTTTCAGGTTGCGTGCCATATATGATCGGGGAATATTGGGAGTCTGCACTTGATTTTTTCAATTATTGAACTAATTTTTAATAGTTGAGACTTAAAACTAAGTAAAAATATTATAATATTACTTTTAATTTTTAATATAAGAACTAATTTAACTTTTAATTTGATTCTAAATATAAGATATTAATCTATTTTATTTTCATATTTATCTATTTTTCAAAATAATCTTTATAGCAGTTACATATATTAAATGTTCAATCAAATGATAGTTTTAACTAATACTACTACATAATTAGTAAGGGTATTTTAGGAAAGATAACATATAATTATTATAAATAACTAACTCAATAAATTTTTATAATCTACTCAAATTAATTAACTAGTTCTTATATTAAAGATAAAAAATAATAAAAGGTTACCATTTTACACATTTATTTATCTATTTTTTTAATTATTTAATATTTAATATTTTAATAATTTTTTTACAAAATAAATTTCAACCCTGGAAATTTGATCTAATAATAAATATTAAGTGAAGAAGAAGTGCGGAAAAAAGAGCTTGGCAGAGACATTCTCTTTTAGGAAGAAAATAGTTGCTGTGAAATAGAATGTTTCATAGATATGTTATTTTATTTTTTTTATATAACTCACTTATAACTTATTTTCATATATTAAAAAATACATTAAATTGATAAAATTTTATAAATTTATTCTTATTAAAAAATTTTCTCTCGCATCTACTAATCATTTTCAAACCTTTTTTCTTCTCTTTTTTTTTTTTAAAAAAAAGAATTACGTAAAAGTAAAATTGGTTGGTAAAATGTAAAAAGGTCAATGATTAAAAAAAGAAGCTGAAATCTTATAAATACCAAATAAGGAATATCAATAAAAATTTATTGTCATTTGTAAATTCAGATTTGTCACTATCAAATAAAATTGTGTTATCAAACTTAATTTGAGATTTACAAAATTTTCAAATTCTTTTTCTGTTATTCTCCCTATGTAAAAAGATAAGGGTGAAATTAAAAAATGTGTTACTTACTTGCTTATATATATTCCCATGGTCAAAATGATCTTTAATTTCTCAAAAGTCAATCATGATTCAGAAGTCAAACCACTCCGCACTAAACGCGATTTTAAGTAATAACTTGAATTTCAAAAGAAAAAAGAATTTCGGTTTTCAAGTCCATAGCTCTACGAGGATGGATTCGAGCTCTTCTCCTTCGAGCACGATCTCCGTGAAGGGTACAATCCCCGTGGCTTCAACTTTCGTCTCTCCTTCGATCAATTTCCCTTCGCCTCCGGCCAATGCTTCCTTCGGCGACCGGAAACCCATTGCTCTGTGGCCGGGAATGTACCATTCGCCGGTGACAACCGCTCTGTGGGAAGCCAAGTCGAAGATCTTAGTGAGACAGCTCGACCCGCCGAAAGACGCGCCTCCGCAGAGCGCCTTGCTTACGAAAACTCCGTCGCAAAGCAGGACGTGTATACTGTATAACTTCTCCTCTGATTTTGTACTGAGAGAGCAGTACAGAGATCCATGGAATGAGGTTCGGATTGGGAAATTGCTTGAAGATCTTGACGCCCTAGCGGGAACTATTTCCGTCAAGGTACGTCGCTTTGAATTTCTCCATTGCGTTTAGTAATTTTTGGGGAAAATGCAAGTACCCACTGGGACTCGACTAAGCTGCAATGATCCCTCAACTTTGAAAACCCTAAAAGTGAGAATCTGGGTAGATGGAATGAGAATGATATTAAAAATGGTAGTGTGTATGAGCCGAATTTCATGTATTTGCAATCATTCCTCCTTTTCTGGAGCATCACTGTTCGTAGGAAATCAGGTTCTCTTGCAGTAACAACAAAGCATAGCACCCTGATCTCCATTTTGTGCGCGTATTTAAAATTTTTAATTTTTTTTAAAGAAAAAACTACGATCTAAATCTAAATTCTAAACTAAAGTTAATCTTTTGACAGTTCACTTTAAGAAACAACAATAGAAAATCATTAAAATAATAAAAGTAATCTTTTAACAGTTAACAGTCTTCATTTCATGGGAATTGATTTTCTGGGCCTTTTCATCTCTGCTTGCAGTGATTTAGTGTGTTAAATGGCTTTATAGCTTCAAAAATAAAATCATCCTCCAAATTTTACTGAACTAATTTATAATTTATATTTTCCTGTATAAACAGCACTGCTCTGATGACGATAGCACGACAAGGCCTCTGCTACTGGTCACTGCTTCTGTAGACAAGATTGTCCTGAAGAAGCCAATTAGTGTTGACATTGATCTCAAAATAGTTGGTTCTGTCATATGGGTTGGCCGATCCTCAATTGAGGTCCAGCTTGTGGTATCTCAGTCCAAAGAAGGTGCTATCACATGGTTCTAAAAATTTGAGTATTTTAGAGTGCCAAAACTTCAAACAGACTAGTTTCCCATTGGCTTCGTCATGATTTTGTCGGTAACTTGGTCTTCATATGTTATGATGTTATCCATACCAACCCATCTGATTCAACTAATGAACTGGCCATTGAACCAATCTGGTTCAAACAAATGCACTAGTTGCAATTAAATTCAATTGGCCAGATGACCGGCAGTGATTGAACCTGACCTATTTTCTTTTTTCTGCTTTAATCAGTTTTATATTGTCTCATATAAATATGATATACCAAATTAAATCTTGTTTAGCTGTCTATTTGCTTTATAGTTGGATTTCTAAGACGCATGTCTAAAATAGTTGCAGAGGGCTCTAATGATTCAGACTCTGTAGCACTCACAGCCAACTTCATATTTGTTGCACGGGACTCAAAAACTGGAAAGGCAGCTCCAGTTAATCGACTTTCGCCTGAAACTGAACCTGAGAAGTTACTTTTTGAACAACGTGAGGCAAGACATAATTTTAAGAAAAGGAAAAGAGGAGGGGAGTGGAAGGATTTGGAGAATGGAAATCTAAATAGACTCAAATCTCTGTTGGCAGAGGGAAGAGTTTTCTGTGACATGCCTGCCTTGGCTGATCGTGACAGCATTCTTCTGAGGGATACCCGCCTTGAGAACTCTCTAATCTGCCAGCCTCAGCAGCGGAACATCCATGGCCGAATCTTTGGAGGATTTTTAATGCATAGAGCATTTGAATTGGCTTTCTCAACAGCATATGCTTTTGCTGGATTGGTTCCATGCTTTCTTGAAGTTGATCATGTTGATTTCTTAAAGCCTGTGAGTATTCTGTCCTTTGTTTTCTACTTTCATCATATCTTCGTCAAAATGACTACTATTAGAAAATCCTTAAATCCATACCCTTGATTAGCTCATCTATAGCATAATTTTACAGCACATGCGCACAGGGAATATTCTTTGAAAATATTGTGATCAAATCGGATTCAACTATAACCACTGCTAAAAAGAACATATATGATTGAGTTGGCATATTGTTTGCGTTCGAAAATCGTCAGAGAGGAAGAGAAAAAAGGGATAGACTTTTGTGCTTTTTTTTTTTTTTTTTTGGTGAGAACTTTTGTGCTTTTTGGTTCCAGCCTATAAGGTTTCTTTCTCGGTCTCACACAATGAACCTGCCAATGTTTTGCTATTCTTTTTATCAATTTGTTTGAATGAGATGTGAACTGATGCAACTCACGCTATAAGTTGTTTTGACTGATTACTTGATCTCTATATGATTAGAAGGGAGTGAAAATCAAGCTATTTGTTTGTAATCATAAAGACAAGGATTTATTTGACCAGGTTGACGTCGGGGATTTCTTGCGTTTCAAGTCCTGTGTTCTTTATACCGAACTTCACGATCCAGATCAGCCACTGATCAATGTTGAAGTTGTTGCTCATGTTACTAGACCTGAGCTGCAATCTAGTGAGGTTAGTTTTATTGAACTACACTTTGGACAATAAAAAAGATTGTGGATTGATTCATCTTGCTTCCCTGTTTTCTTTGGTTCGATACAGGTATCAAATACTTTCCATTTCACTTTCACAGTACGTCCTGAGGCAAAGGCAATGAAAAATGGCTTGAAACTTCTAAAGGTAGTACCAGCTACAGAAGAAGAAGCTCGTTTAATATTAGAGCGCATGGATGCTGATAGTGATAGTTTGCAATGATCTTGAGAAGGATCATTTGTACGCTGGTGAATTAAACAAGAATTGGCAGGAAGAGAAAATGGGGTAAAGCTATAATTAGGTTTTAACTTAAGGAGAAAAAGTGTAATTCCCCTGCTTATTTTACCACGGTCCATTGATAATGCTAGTATTTTGCAGCGCAAGTACTTTCTGCTCCGATCCCTACCATGGAACACATCCTCTACCCAACGTGAGAGGGAGGGTTGGATTTGGTCCGAAATGTTATGCCTAATTATTTCAAGGGTTATAATTAATTTATTTATGTAATTTAATTTCTTTTAATTTACTAAGTATTATAAGAATTAGCAGGAGTACTTTTTAGATGATATGAGTAATTCTTGTTATCCGTCACTAATTAGGTTATTCATTACATTTTTTTCGAGATCGCTCAAGTTTAAAGTTCCTTTTTTTGCTTCTCAAAATGGAGTTCATAACTTTTTAAATATGGTCAAATTTAAGAAATTTTAAATTGATTTTCAAACAAATTTAATGATTTAATCATTTTTCCTTAGTTTTGGTGAAATAGTCTGAGGTATCTTATAATAGGGATTGAACTATTGGAGGGGATATCATTAAATACACGTGGACCTTCCTTTTTGAGTTCAACCTAATGGCACAAAATCCATCATTTGAGTGCATAATAGGTAACTGTTACTTTTACAGGGATTGACAATATTTTGTATACTTCATTCATGTAATGTGATTTTATTGACATATAATTAAGATACTCATATAATTTATCAACAAATATTTAAGTCATAACTGAGTAGCCAAAAAATAGAGGCTAAAAGGGCAGAAAATGAGCTCATGACAACAACAAAATATAAACGAAAATATTTAATCTTAATAATGCTAGGAACTTTCAATAATTGTTAGAAAGACAAACATCAGGTTCATTGTTCATGAAAAACAAGCTCTCAACATAAGATTCACCATAAACTTCACTAGAAAAATGACTAATGTCCCACGAGGCTCCAACTGTTCCTTGATTGGATCAACTAAAACTATATCTCTATATGTCAGTAAGGCTCAGGAACACTTTTTCGCTGCTAGTTATAGCTCATCCATGGTATGAAAGAACATGCTTGAAGCTTCCCATAGAAGATTCTCCGATGATGCACATGATGATGGGAGATACATCTGCACTAATAAGTTTCTCTGCCATTGATCAAACAGGCATAGTTCCATCACTTTCGTTGCAATTTCTTCCCAGCCTCATCCAGTTTCTGAGCAATCTCAGCTTCAGTGTAACCTTGATCATTAAGTTTATCTTCAAGGATCGCCAGCTTCAGCTGAATCTGACGTTTCCGGTCATGTTCAGGGATCTCTTTGTTAGGTTTCCTAGTATTTGCCTCATATCCTCGGCTGTTTTTCCTAGCAAACTTCCTAATAATCTTGGCCTTCACAAAGAACTTGTTGCTCTGCGTATATCCATTCGTACCAGATCCCCTCGGGGTCTGTAACCCTATTCCGTTGTACATATCGGCTCCTAGTGTAGACAAAGCCTAGCTAGGGTTCCAACATTTTTCAATACTTGCAACAGAACAATCACGCAGGGCTGACGGTGGACAGCGTCCAACGGCCGGTGACCTTGACCAAGGGTGGAATGTTTCTTCGTCGACGAAGAAAAATGGTCTGCTCCTTCTTCACCTAGAAGAGGTTATGTTTGGTTTTCTTAGGAAGGGGATGGAAGAGGTTTTGATGTTAATGTTTGGTTTTGTTGATGATGATGAGGTTTCTAAATAATTCCTTGATTTGGTTAATGAAAAGTAAAAATTAATCTACTATTTTATCCTTATCCGATGGCTTCTTCTTCTTCTTTTTTAACTTTTATTTTGTATAAATTAATTTTATTAATTCAAATAGTATAATTTATAAAAATTCATCTATATCTTAATATACATTGTTAATGTGTATAATATAATGATAATAACAAAAAAATATTTAACTCCCTTAAATATATAACAAAATATCATTATGATATATCTACTTATAGATATATCACACGTATAAAGCTGTCTGATAAGTATATATTTTATAGTTAAATTGTTTAGATTTTGAAATATATTTGGTTGATTTTATGAATATCTCATATCTGTTTAATTAACTTTGCTATATTTTCCTCTCTTTAGACAATTGTAGGATAAAAATCAATTTTTTTATAAAAACTACTCAAATGTTTTTTGTTTTTCATTGTTGCAGGAAATGTTACAAGGTTAAAAAAAGGGTTATATAAGTGGACTGAAAAAACACTTGTAATTATTAATTTTCTGGATTAACTATTTAGAGACTAATTCATTGTCTTTATTTTAATTTTATTTCCTCTCGCTTAATCAATTATGATTTAGCTTGCTTAACTTAAACAAAAATAAGAATTTTAGTGTCTAAACGCTACTTATTCTCTCTGAAAACAATACTCCAGTCAACAGAGGAGGAAGATGATTGCGTTCTCAGATTTATTTATTTTTTCCAGATGCCACATCACCTCCAGTCAATAGAAACTAACGGCCAATGCAAGCCTAACAAACAGAAGGACTAGCGCTAATAACATAACAAACAATAAGGATTGAATTAAAAAGAAAAAAAACTATAAGGACTTGATTTAAAATTGGATGCAATTATAGGGATTGGCAAATTAATTTTCCAGGTTAGTTATACTGTAGTTATAAGTATAACTACTTATACCTTCATCCTTCTGTAAACAATTCCATCATTGTTTACAATCTCTCATTATCCATCTCTTCAATCGCTATGGAGAGTCAATTGTATTTTTTCCCTGCATCAAAGAAAGAAACTAACGAACATAGAAATGATATTCTGGTTATCGGCATTGCTTTGGGCATTTGCGTTTTAACACACATCGAATAGGGCACATCTTCTAACCCTGTACAGTCTTCTTGCTTGAAAGATCAGGTAACAATCTTCTGACCCTGGACAATCTCATTATTGAGATTCTTATTTGGTATCTAATATATTTTCTTTGCTTTTTTTGTTAAGTTGCAGCCCACAAGTAGGAGGAAGAAAGAAAACGACGGCAGGAAGAAAGGCGACAGTAAGAAAGGTAGCGGGAAGAAAGGCGACTGAGGAAAGAAACCCAAAAAGGAAAAAAGCAAGTTTTACAAGCATTTCCATTATTAAAATATTCTGTTAATATTTTGTTGATATGATTTGATTTATTTGATTTGTATTCATCTCTTGATTTATTATTAGGTTTTATTATTCTTTTTTTGTATGTATAGATGTACTCATCTCGTTCCAGAATATACAAATAATATTCATCTCCAATATTTTCTCTCTTTCTCTATTCTGACATGGTATCAGAGTCATAAACTTTTAGACACCTACCTTTGTTTGACGTGTCATCACGCACGTGCTTTTATCCCATTTGGTTTCCTCTAGATTTGCGCCACTCCACATCCTTTCTACCGTCATCTTTTACCGTGTGTATTCACCATGGAAAAGTCTGAGGTTGCCCATCCAATCTCTGTTATGTTGAATGGCTCCAACTACTGCCTATGGTTTGAGAGTATATGTGGTTTTTTAAAAGGGCATAAACTATAACATTATGTTACTAGTGATATTCGTTTTCTTGTTCGCAAAGCTGATGAGACTGATTTGAAATTCAATGACTGACTTGATGAGTGGGATAGCAAAAATAATCAAATTATCACATGGTTTCAAAATACCTTAATTGCTAGCATAAATCAATAATTTGGCCGCTTTGAAACAGCAAAAGAGGTATAGGATCACCTTGCTAATCGCTATACATAATCTGATTTGTCCAATCAGTTTCAATTGCATAAAAATCTCAGTGTCTTAAAGCAAGAAAAAGGTCAGCCCCTATATTAGTTTTTGGCTAAGATTGAGTCTATCTGGGATCAATTAGCCTACTCGGAACCTAGTTTCAAGAATGAGGAAGATGCACAAGCTTTCTTTCAGTACCGCGATTAGCTTCGTCTTATTCAATTATTGATGTCTCTCACGGATGATTTTGAGCCTGTTTGAGCATCCTTACTTTACCAAAGTCCACTTCCGACTCTTGAGGATGCTCTCCCTTGGCTTCGCTTCGAAGAAACTCGATTTGGACTTTTACAATGTACTCCTGAAATGGTTTTTGCTACCACTGGAAGATCCTCTAAATCTTGTCATCGTTGCCCTCAATTTGATCACTCCTTTGATCAATGTCCCTATATTGAGTGCCGAACCTGTTAAAAGAAGGGATATATAGCCGCAAATTGTCCTACCATGTTCTGTGACCACTGTAAAAAGACAGGGCATCTTATTGATTGATGCCTTACTCGTCCTCTCAGGTCTGATCAGGGAAGATCAATAAGGCCTAATTCCTTTTCCAAGCCTGCATTATCTACTACTGCTGCTGATTTTACCTTGGAATCTTCTACTGCAAATCTTGAGGCTTTACTTTGCAGGTTTGTCCCTGATACTTCCAACCCACCTGCTACCTTAGCCACCTCCTCAAGTACTTCATGGTTCTTTGACTCTGCTTCTTGGAACCATATGACTAGTTAGGAAAGTTTTTTTTCTTCTATGTCAAAAATACTACTCTCATCCTATACATACATCTAACAGCTGTCAAATGCCCGTTAGTCATATTGGTACTATTTCTCTGCCCTCCTCATCCATTTATGAGACTTACTCCATCCCTACTATTAGCTTTAATCTTCTTTCTGTTGGACAACTTGTTGATATGGGTTATAATGTCTTATTTATCAAAAGTGGTTGTGTTGTGATGAATTTTGGACAGGACAGGTCATCAGGAGTAGGCATAAGGTCGACTGTATGTTTGAGCTCAACTCACTGCATCTCCCTGAAGTCACTTCTCCCAAATTGTGTGCTGCTACTACATCTTCGTCCCTCAATTTATGGCATCACCGTCTTACTCATCCTTCCTTAAATGAACTTCGTCCTTTAATTTCTAGTGGTCTCTTAGGTCGAGTCAAGAATGAGTCTTTACATTGCATTTCATGTCAAACTGCCAAACAACCTGCTTTATCATTTAATAAAAATGACTTTATTGTTGATTCCATTATTGATTTGGTTCATTCAGACATTTGGAGTCCCACGCCCACTCCATCTATGGGAGGATCTCGATACTTTGTGATTTTTGTTGATGATCATTTGCGTTATACTTGGATATATCTTATGAAAAACAGATTCAAATTACCTGATATTTATATTAAATTTGCTACTATGATTCAAACTTAGTTCTTAAAAATTATTAGTCTTTCACCGCGATAATGCTTTAGAATACC